AAAAATAAAATCACTTAAATTCTGCTACTCTGTTTACTCAACATGACATATCCCCGTCTTCCTGCATACATGTCGTGAGAGCAAGGTTTGCCTGTCACATTTCCTCTCAGCTGTCCAGCATCTAGGTGAGTGCTGTTATGTGACAGATACTCCAAAATAGAAGATTCATGGATGAAGTTGAGAGACTGCTGGGCTTGGTGTCAGAGAATAGGAATTCTAGGCTCAGTACTCTAACTAGCTACTGTCTTAGGTCATCTTTTTCAGCCTGACTTTCTTCATCTTTGAAATGGTATAACTTGGAATAGATAAACTGTGGAGGTGATGTCAGCTCTCAAATCCCATGACATTTCTCTACTGGCTAAGATGCCAGTCACTTTGTATGAACAAGTGAGAAATGACAGCTGCTTATAGACTGGGAACCACCGAGCTCTTGACAAGGCTGCCAGGCTCTTCACAGGCAAATAGAATGCACACAAGTCTCTTAAAAGATGGTTACACAGTGATAGGTTTGGAAAAGACTTCAGGAATCCTTGGGCTCATTCACTTCTGTCACCTAAATGAAAGAATGGCTTCTACAAATTCTTGTTGATAAGTCCTTGGCTTGAATATCTCCTGTGCCTGAGAAATCACTACCTGAAAAGCTTCTACTTGGGAAGAGAAAGTCATTTGGCTGTGAAACCAAAGAGGCTGATTCTGGGGATACATGGGTGACATCTGCTCTCCCTTCTATATTGCCCCCTGGTATTAGAGGATATTTCTGTCTTCCTTCAATTTCTCCTCTTATTACATTGGATGGTATTTTCCAAGGATAGAGGAGAATTGAACTAGTCTGGGATTATGAGTCAGGAAGACAGAATTCTATTTCCAGATCTTCCATTAACTCATTGTGCGGTCCAGGACAAGTAACTTCTATTCTGGCTGATATAGCATTTTCTTGTTAAGATAGGGCAATGGAAGAGATGGGACCAAGTGAATCTCAGAGCGTGGCAAGCTGTAAACAGGGCTATTGGGGGTGGGGTCAGGCATGAATGTGGTTGTTCTGAATCACACTCAGCACTGGTGCAAAACGATTCTGGAGTTAAGAGTTCACTGAATTTTCCAAAGGCATAGTTTCCTATATGATGCAATGGTGTTAATATCTAAGATAACAATGTACACCTAAAGAAATTCTGCTGAAATGGAAAAACAATTCCAGCACTTTGGCTCTAAAAAGAAAAACAGTAAATCTAAAGGCAAAAGACATCTGTATGTGTTTTGCAAAGTCCACAATATACAGACCTGTCCTAAAAATTAATCCCCAATGTCGCAATCATGGAAACAGGATTGAGTAAGCGCTTGAGAAAATACCTGGCAGGAGAATTCTGGCAACAATTGTGCCTCATGCATAACGAGCTGGTTGAACTTTTATCATCCAGAGGGATTATTGACAAGCATAGAGTTGGAATTTCCTCCTGGGTGACACAGCTTAGATTGAAATGAAGCCAGGGGTTCTGGAATGCCCTGTTATTGAACTGAACCTGAGATGTTTCAGGAAATGAAAAGATACACTATTTTTTTCCCTGTTGTACTTTAGTAAAAAAGACTAGAAATTTTAGTAACCTACTGATTCTGCTCTCCCACATAGGATGATATTTTTGTTTCTTTCTCTTATTTACTTCTGAAAAACTGTCCTTGAGTAGCTATTAAAAAAAAACACAGAGTAAATACACATCACTTTGTTAATGATACTCCTTCATCAAGTGGCACTCATTTTCACAATAATAGAATATCCAAGTGCCTTGAGTTAGCTAATGGATTACCTAATACAAACAAAATAAATTAAAAGACCTGCAGACAATGGAGATGCTGAGCAGTTAGAACGAACAAGTCTAGACTAAGATAATTTATTTCTGTGTTCCCAGGGCGATTAGGTACTCAGTAAATGTTTGTGGAATTGATCTGAGTTCAGCTTTTTTAGAGATATTTAGCCAGCAAAACCTTTCCCCTTCTAAATTAGCCATTTTCTAAGCCATGTTCCCTCTCTCCCAAATCCTCAAATGCATCTCATTAGCCCCTTGTAGAAGATCACCACATGTTCTTAAGAAGCATTTTTCCACCTTGCTTTTAAAAAGGGTGCAGTAATGTTTGCTGTGGAGGTACTGACTGCCTTGCAGACAGAAGCTCTGACTTGAGCCCTTCCAGGGATGTTTAGCTGTACCTTTCTATACAGAAATTGATAAATTGTTTAAAAATTTAACAAAACCAACAATAAAGATTTGAGCTATATTTTTTAACAAAATAAAGACACGGTATTTTCCCAAAGCCTTCAGTGTCTTAGGATATGAGGACATTTCTGTGTTGGATGAATTTCCAAATCCACCAGATCCCCTGTGGGCAGCTTTGAAGGCCCTTGGCATAGGCCACCTTTCAGTGGAGAAAGGCAGTGGTTTCTCCAGCCTCTTTTGTGCAAATCCTTTCCTGTAAATCTGAGTTGCTTGCTGCTCTCATGCACCCTGGAGACAAGTGCAGATAGTACATTTTAATTTCCTTAATGGGATATTAATTCTGATCTTGGAGCCAGGCTAGAGGATGATGAAGCATTCTGGATTTACCAATACATATTTTTCTGAGGGTGGGTTGAAGGAAGCTTCTCTTGTAAAGCTAGTTTTGGAGTTAATGAGAAACCGCTCTTTTCTGCTTTAAGCAAAGGGTAATTCCTCCTTTTGAGCTACCCTTTCCCCATGGTCAGTTTGGGGCTGCCCACTTTCTTTCAGGCTTCACTTCCTCTATGAAGACTCTGGAGAGCCAGGTGGAGGTGACCACGCCCTTCCCTGGGTGATCACTGAGTGCTTTGGGAAGCTGAAGGCAAGGAGGAGGCCTGGTGTGGGCCAGTCTAGCACAGGTTAGAAAGTATACTGAGAGTCTCACCCTCTCAACTGAGGAAGCTGAAATTGATTTGTATTAATTGATAGTCAACAAGTATTGATCAAGACTACTACTCAACCAGTCACTATGTTCAGGAGTCACAGCACATCTCTCTCTGTCTCTGTAGTTTCCTGGCAACCAGAGTTAAAAGTGATTTCAGGGCCAAGTTTTGCTCTCAGATAAATGCTTAGGGAGCATTTATGATAGAGAACAAGGTGCTGGAGGTACCCAGGTATGTAACACTCCACTGCTCTCACACTGCCCAGAATGCAGAAAGTCAACCCATTTCATTCCAATGAGCTCATTTGATCCTAGGAAACAAATTTTCAGACTCTTGCTTTGCAAACCAGTCAATAGAGGCCAGGAGAGCAGAACCAGCCCTTCTGGCTTGATATTGCATTGTAGGAAAATCAGGCTGACCAGAAGACATGGGTCCTCTACAACACAGTGTCCAGCCTCTCTTCTCAGGAGAAGAACCTGACTGCGCTAATTGGCTAACCTCACATTCAAATCCCTTTGGATATTTTAAGGGAAAAATACCTGCATAACACTCAGCATATAAAGTTGCAGATCAAACCTCAAAGCAGACCTATGGAAACTTCTCCAGGTTTAATGATCGACATCTCTTTCCTCCCCAGAGAGTAAGCCAGTAGTTTGTTGTCCAGTTGGTCTACTTCCCTAGAAATGTGTCATCAAGTTTTGTGAGTGACCTGCTGGATGGCTTTCCTGGGACAGTGCCAGAAATAACAGTTTTAGATGATAATGCTTTCCAGACTTGAAGTAGTGCTTTGGCATGAGTTGATTGATGTTGAACCAGGAAGCATCAGTGGTTTTTCTAGAAGGTTTAAGTAGAAGCTGTCTTGCTCTTCATAGTGTCCTCTGGGTAGAGCTAAGTGTCCAGAATAAGTACCCAAGAAAGCTGTGCTGAATATATGCTATTGCTGTACTTTTGATATGCATGTGAAACTAACACTGGCTTATTTTGACACCTGTGTACAGAATCAAAGGAAAGGTAGCTTTTCTCGCAGGCAATATATAGCATGAAAATCAGTTCCTTTTTGGAGAACATTCATAAAAAGCATCATCTCTTTTCATTTTTCTTTTTAGGCTAGGCATGAAAGTACATGGAAATACTGATAAAAGGTTTTTGCCTCCAGAGGGTTTATACCATGTTCTTGGACTTTCTTTGGATGTTGTCCAAAGTGAATTTATGATCAAATTGAATAATAACTGGACTACCGGTGACAAGAGTGTACCAGGAAGGTGTGGGAATAGTCTTTAAATCCTGCCCTGAGTAGATCATACATTCATTTGGCGATCAGCATAGAAACTCAACACAATACTCTGATTTTTTTCTTCTGCTTTTTTTCTCAAGTAGTATTCTCATCAGGAAGGCATACACGGTATAAATTTAAGGGCTATAAATTTCATAGCTAAACCCCTCTCCATGTGGAATACCCCCTACCCCTGACCCCAAACACTCTTGGCTAGAATTATACATGAATGAAGAAAACTGGAAACCTGGAGGCATGGCTCCCTTCATACAGTAATGTCTGCTTTGCTCCTATAGCAAGAAGGCTCCAAAGAACGTTTTGTCTTCTTTTGTGTAATCCACCAAAGAGATGTCACTGACATTCACCATCAGCTTGTCCCCTTCCTGCAAGGAGAACATGGCTCCAAGGTACAGGGGCTGGAACCAACTGCTGCTTATTTCACACACAGACTTGGTCCCTGTTAGGAGCTGGGCAGGCTCAGGGTAGCTGTCTGTTACCTTGGTAATGACCACAATGATGGAGTCTGGCTTGTTCTGTCGTCTGCCTGGGCTGATGTTACCACATTCAGAAGTGGTTCCTCGGAATGTGATCTGGGAGTAAACAAAGTAGTCTCCTGACTCTGGGATGACCAGGAATTTGTTGGTGTAGTTCATCCGGTTCTTGGTGAAGGCCAAGCCTAATTCATGTTCCCAGCGCAGAGCTGGGAACTGATTTTTCAGGTGCTTTGTAGGAGTTTGTCTCACAACTGCAAATGCAAGAGAGAACAGAACCTTTGGATTTTGTGGCAATCTCAAAGAATAGTATGAGGAGTAAATATGACCGACAGCTAACAGTTGCTTGCAGAGGAATGAGGGAAAGGGATGTGTAGTTCGTTTGTAGAGAATGGAAGGTATCTTGTGCAAGTGTCCTGGGGAAAATGATTTTGCCTCTCTAAGGCTAAATTTTCTGACATGACAATTTTGAATTTTACCTAAGTCTTGTGGTTCTGGAAAGAATAAAAGTTAAGAATTCCCATCAGTCCTCTGTGTTCTAGAAACCAAATGACTGCACAGAGTTAGTTGTTCCTCTACATAACTTAGATTAGCTCATGGATGTCCCCTTTGTTTCCTGATGACAAGGCCAGGCACCCCAAGTTCCATTTGTCACTGACTATTTCACTCTCACTGACCAACTGGAACAAAATGGTTGCTGACTAAAACTCAGTGAAGCCTCCCTCCTTCTTCCAGGCCCTGGACTTTGTCCTACTCTCAGCCTGAGCAGCCAGCCTACAGTCCCTCCCTAGACTAGGCTGGCCTCAGAATCAAACTTTCTCTGACCCAATCCTGCCACCTTTCCTTCCATGTCCCCACACCTGGTACTCTTTAGCTTTGTTTACTACTCTCTTTATATATATGAAAAACCTTTTGAGACTAATTTTTGAGGATGAGGTTGACTTTAGTTTCAGAGTGTTCTTCCTAGTGCTGTAATGCCCTCCCGTATCAAGGCACAGCCTGCTGTCCCTATTCTTGGTTCCTCATCTACACATTCAACAAACCACGGTTGAAAAATATGGAGGAAAAAAAAAATCTATGTCTGTACGGAGTGTGAACAGACATTTTTCTTTTCATTATTTCCTAAACAATGCAGTATAAAAACCATTTTCATAGCATTTACACTTCATTAGGTAGTAAACATCATCTAGAGTGACTTAAAATATAAGGGAAGATGTAGATGGGTTTATATGTAAATATTAAGTCATTTTGAGTAAAGGACTTGAACATCCTAGATGTAGGTGTCTGCAGGGGCCCTGGAGCCAGTTCTCCATCAGTACCAACACGACTATAATCTCTCCTGTCCCCTGCCCTCCCCTCCTTCTTAGCAATGATCCATTTGCATAGGGTCTTTATTTACTAAGTAGGTGTTTGGTCTTTATTTGATATGTCTGTCTGTGACATTAGGGTGCAGTTCAACTTGATTGGCTTTAGGACCAACTCTAGGAATTGGAGAAGCACACTTCTAGGTGTGTCTGGGTGGGTCATGGAAGTGTGGATTTGGGGGTCTCTATCCAGTTCCTTGCCCTTTCTGCTTTAGCAAGACTCCTCTGTTCTTCCTGTCCACCAAGAAGAGAGCAGATCTGTTCCACCACACCCTCCTGCCATGATGTTTTTGCCTTGGAGCCTAATGACTGTGGATTGAATTTTTTGTGACCATGAGACAAATTAAACCTTTTTCTCCTTTAAATTATGAGTATTGGATATTTTGTCTCAGGGACAAGAATGCTGATTAATACACTTTCCTTAAAGAAAATCAGAGCTAATAATACTGGTGGAAAGGACTAAAAGATGTGGCATGTGTAAAACCCTTGGCTACTAGGAATATAATCTAAATTACATTCACTTGTACTAGCCTTCTTGTTTCAGACACACTATGCTGCAAAGAAGACATTTCAGAGAGAGTGAGATGGTCCCTGTCACCACATTCCAATCCAAACACATGTAGTGATTAATGAAGAATTAACTGGCAGGACTTGTTGGAAGCAGAGACTTAGAACACTTTGAAAGTTCTTCTTCCACATTCACAGGACAAAAATACTGTGTAACTCAAAGCAACTGACTTGTGGAATGGGGGAAGGGCTCTAGGCTTTGGGCCACTTGGGCCCACTACCAACCCTGATTCTGCAGCTATGTAGGTTCACGCTCTTCTCTGAATCTCAGTCTCCTGTCTGTAAGCTAGGAATGAAGCTCTTTCAGAGTTTGATTCTCAAGACAAAGTGAATGTAACAGACATGGGTATATTTTATCACAATGGCTGGCTATAGTTGTATTTAATTTTTCCCTAAATAAATCAACATTTTTCATTTTGACAGATTAAAAAAACAAGCCCATTTTATTTTATATCTTTTCCTATGTTCCTATGTTTGCATATGCATAAGCATATCTTATATGGAACATATTAATGAATGCATTTATGAAGTGTCTTAGCAGAAGAAAATGAATATAGTCAAACTTGATTCAAACCATTGATTTCAAATAAGATAATCTGCAAATGAAATGAACAGTTTTCAGAAGAAACAAAAGCAACTTGATTTCCTATAAGTACTTTTGAAAGCCACAGCCATCCCATGATGTGCTGCTGCCACAGTTTTGGGATGGGTTATTATCTTAAGAAACTATCCAGCAACCTGCACACCCAGTAAGTGACCTGAAATCTCATTCCTATATTTTCTAAAGAGTCTTTCCCATTGCTGGCTGGACCAGGGTTTCTTTTGCAACTATAACATTTTCCCCAAATGTACGTAGCCTCTTCTGCCTCCCATACCCCCGCAAAGCTTTGGTACCATTTTGCAAACTCAGCATAAATAATTTTTTTATTCTCCTCAGATTTTTATCAATATTAGTCCTCCCTTATGGATGATGAAGTAATTAAAAAAAATCCTCAAATGATTGAAAAACAAAATTCATGTCCCTAGATAAGAGAAGCTCTACTGAGTTGCTGTGCAGTTAGTTACATCAACACAGCAGTAACCAGGAGTGTAGACGGGAAGTATGTTGCAGCAACAACAGCAGCTCCCAAGCGACAAATTTGAACTCTTCCACTTCCTAATTATCTGTCTCAGGACACATAAATTCAGTTACCCAAACCTCAGTTTCCTCATCTGTAAATGGGAACAACTATTCCTTCATTCATTGGACTGATATGCAGATTAAATGATACAATAGAAGTAAAATGCTTACTATAGTTCTTGACACTATTAGGACCTCAAGTAGTAGATGGATTTCCTCCCCAGTTTCTGTCTCTTAGGAAGAGGGATGACATCTCTATACTCAGGCAGGTTTTAGTATTTTCCTCCTTGTCTTGTTCATTTTCTCCCATTCTAGATAAGGGGAAGTAATAACAACTTGGCATCTCCCTGGTCTTAAAGTCGACTCAGGACTCATGTAAACAATTCAAGCACTTCTCTCTTGGTTAGATACTAATATAAATATCTTGGGATCCAAGGATATTCTCCTGATTTTAAACTCCCTAGTTTTTCAGTAAGTTTTAAATACACACTTTTGCCTTCTTTGTTTTTCTCTGTTGTCTGAAGTATCAGATGCCTATGAACTCCAGGTGGTACATGCCTGGAATTTCCACATGAGATCTGGGAAACTAGTTACACTGAGAGATTCCGCATAATATCTTCACAGTGGAAATTCTTTAGAAACACCTTCCTGAAAGCAAATGTCCAATGACATCATCTTCATTTGGGCCCAGATGGACTGGACAAATTGGCAACACAGGGGACTTTACATCTGTGACCAGACCTAGAATTACCTGAAGCTCACAGGCTGAGCTTTCAGGACCATGGCCAATGAATGGTCTCCTAAATAACACTTCAAGGCTTACCTGTCAGGTGTGCTCTCGGCTTATCTCTGTCATCTCTGAGTGGTATGTCTGTAAGAAAGGAGAAATGAGCTTGCATGAGTCAAAGGGTGCTGGATGAGGACAGCACTTGGGAGGTGACTGGCACCTGTAATAGAAGGCAAACATCAATCTCCTCCAGTTTGTTCCAGTTTCACTCCTTACATGTTTTGGTTTGGCATGTGGTGCCTGTTAGTATGCACCACTGGGAACAGGGGCGACTCCAGAGAAAGAATCCTGAGTGCAAATTAGTCTTTGCCCTTGACTTGGGGTAAATTATGCAGCCTCAGAGTCTGTTTCCTCATCTGTAAGATGGGCCCAATTCCCTCATGGCTGGAGAATGCTCAACATGACTCTTGCACATAGTCAGTCAGTGCTCAAGCTACTCCCATGAGAGCTAATTGGCCTTTGTCTCCCTCCTGGTCCCTTTAATTATGTTTACTAAGAAGTACAGAGATGGGACGGGGAGTGGGTGGGATCATTCTGGAACTAAATGAACTTAGCAGGTCTTTCTGGTCCTTTCTTCCGGCATTAGCTCTTGAAATACCTTAGAATTTCCCTTTGACTCTCAAAGGTGATTATATTGAATTAAGTATGTCCTAACTGCAGTGATGAAGATGATGTTGATTATTGATAATTCATTAATAAAAACCCCAAATCTATTGTGTACTTCTGATGTGTTAGGCATTGTTTTCATCCTTTTTTGGGAATTAACTAGTTTAATTTACAGTGACTCTGTCAGGGGAGTACTATTATAACCATTTTTAGAGGTGACTAAATGGAGATAGAGACAGGTAACATCATTTTTCCAAAGGTTGTTAATAAATTCCAAAGCATCAGCTCCAGGCCACCCACTTGGCCGTGGTCTCATTTATCTTCTTTGTGATAAAGAAGGAGCCTTAAACCTTCCTCTAAGTTTATGTACTGAGCTTGAGAGATGTAGATGTCCATCTCTAAAACTCTTACATACCAAAACTATTAGAAAAGTTCTTGTCCCTTATAATAAAAGCATCAAAGGTAGATACACTTACAAGCTCTCTGATGTGAAGGTCCAAACCTCTGTTCTTTTGTGGTCTGTTGAGGAAAAAAAGATATGGTTCAGTCCAGCTGCAGTGCTCCCAGTAGCTGCCTAGCTGCTTATAACACAGGTAAAACTGAGATACTGCTGTTACCAGCCTGAATGCTCTGCCATGAGCACAGCAGCATGAGAGTATGTTGGTCGATGAGACTTTCACACCCCAGCTCTCCACTTTCTTCTTCTAGGACTCCCTGCCCACAGCCTTTCTGTCTGTGATGCTTGCATCTGGATCTGAGCTTTGAAGTTCTGTCCCGAGTGCTTTTCCTATTCTATTCTAGGGGACTTTGGTGTCTTGTCATTGCTGATTTAAACAACTAATTGTACTTGCTTTACTTTCTTTTTGCCACTAACATTTGAAAATTGGAATGATTTTTAAAAAATAATACACAAAAAGAAATAATGACCATGTTCCCCTTTCATAAATCTCACAACAATTCTTTCCCATTTCTGTGCAGTATATGAGGGAATCTTCATTACTGTAATCTGGTAAGTCATTTCAGATACTGTGGACAGTATGATAGAAAAGTAACTGCCTTGGTGGCAGACAGACCCTCACTGAACCATTGTTCTATCACTTATGAACAATATGATTTTGAGAAAGACACTTTGAGAAAGACTCTCTGAGCTTTGGTGTCCCCATTTGTAAAATGGAAAACAATACTTCCAGCGCTCAATGATCTGTAGACTTAAATGAGAAAATAGATGAATCAGGGCAAATAACATTTGGAAAATGAGAGAACCACCATTCATGATGCTTGGGGGAAAAACCATGCTCTTACCTTGGGATAATATCACCTACTTACATTTTACAAGGGTTTTGTAAAAACACTCTCTAATATGATTTTGACTCAATCCTGTCTTCAGAATTGGGCCTTGTAATTAATTACACAGCTCCCACTAACAGTGATCCTCCTGCCACCATGAACACTCGATCTATTTTACACCTTATAGTATGTGTGTGCTGTGTGTTTGTGAGATTGTCTGTCTAGGTACGTGTGTGGGAATAGACTCTTTCAGCAGAAAAGCATGTAAATAGTGTCTGTGTGGTGTGGTGTTGTGTTCAGGGATGTCCCCAGGTGGTTACGTGGATGTCACTTGTATGTCCCTATTGAGTCCAGCTCTGTAAGCGGGTCTGTGATATCTGTGATACTTTAGCATCTACACCTCACACAGTTTTTGCTCTCAGGCTTCCTGTCTTGACCTCTGCTGGAAGCTCTTTTGTGGGTTGAAATCAAACCTTGCCTTTGAAAGATTAACTGACTGAAGTGTTTCTCCAGCTCATTTCCGCATGCTTCCAGAATCTGTCACTGTCACTGCTCTGGCTTTCCTTCAGTTCCCAGACCTGAGATGTGCTTCTTTCTTTGTCCACAAACTAAAGCTTGTCATTGCTATTTTACAGTGCTCTCATTTGTGCATCCATGCCAAGCCTTGCACACTACTCTCCTGGATTCTGCTAACAGCTTCCCAGAGGTCTCCATGCCTCTGGCCCCTCCCTTTTCCTCATCCACCTCCTGCCTGCTTCTGAGTGCTTTTTCTAAAGCACCACTTTACTGAGATGCCACTCTGCTCATAGGCCTTCAGTAGCTCCCATGGCTTTCAGGACACAGTCCTATCTCGTCTTGACATTCCATGTCCCAATTTACCACCTTAGTTTGTTACCCAGTATTCACCCCTCTCAGAGGCTGTTTCCCAGCCATAACAGGCAACCACAGTGTGTGATTCGTGAGACTTAAAAATGAAGAAAGGGTAGCTACTATTTAATGAATGAGTAGTGACGCTGCTATGCTAAGCCCTTCACAGGCATCATTTCCTTCAGCTTCGGGACAACATGAAAGGCGGTGCTATTCACATTTACATACTGACAATGTGGCTCAGGGTGGATAAACAACCTACTTGATATCCTAGGAAGTGGCGGAGTAGGATTTTAACTCGGGTCAGGTGGCTCTGAGCCACTGTGCCCTCCAGGTTTTGGACAAGCTCCTCATGTGATGAGATGGAAGCTAAGTACCAGCAATTCCATGCATGGTGATAGTAAGTCCAAAGTTCAGAAAACAGACCTGGCCCAGCAGTGGGAGAATCCAGGGAAATTACCCTGAACTGAACCTTACAGTTCCTGAAGATTTTAGCCCAGTGATAAAAGAGGCAATGTGCTTTCTAGACAAGGCCAATAGCTTGTGCAAGTGTGAGGTCAACAGAGCATGGGGACAACTGGAAAACCAAGGCTTTCTACTACCAAATGAGTATAACATGTGAACTTAATATAGGGCCACTTGCACAGTGGCCTTTGAAATACCTAAACCTGCTTGTACAACCTCAGTAACATCAGCCCCTGTGAGCTTACAATCGGGCCTGTTGCCTGACTTGCTACTTACAGAGCTGATAAAGGAATTGGCCCTTTGCTAAGGCAGGAAACTGAAGGTGGGGTTTTCAAAAAGCATTAAGGGGATCTCAGCTGCATTCCCTTGTGTAAGAAAGAGTTCTTTCTATGCTCCCTTTCTCCTGCTTCATTTAACTCTGCTGGGAACCTGAAATATCCTTGGTGAAGTAGACACTCAACTGTAAGTCTGAAGTGTTTCTTTTGACTGAGAATCTCATTTTCAGCAGCCTTTTTTCTGGGATATAAATATAGTTTCCTAGCTGCTCTGCTGGATTCTATTACTTGGGCACACCTTTTACTTTCAGATTTGGATGGATATGTGTGGATTTCAGTGTCCCAGAGTGCCACCAGACATCCCGAGGCTGTGCCAGTGCCCGTTGGTGGACAATGACAACCACAACATCTCAAAAATCTCTATGAAGAACATCAGTTGGGACTCCCTCTCCAAGACGTGTAGCTTTCCATTGCTGCTTTTCTTAATAAGACTGTCGGTCACAGAAGGAAGATTACTGTGACAGGAAGCAGGAATGGAGGAGGAGGAGATTTGAGAAGATGACACAGCTTATTTGCAGAAAGTTTTATGTACTTCAGCTGTTTCAGGGTTTGCTCTTGAGATGCTTGCTGATAACACCAGGCAAATAAAATGTTTTATCGTCCTCCATCCCTGCCTCATCGCCATTACTTCTGGGTTATTCTGAGGTAGCAAGGAGACAGTGGCTTCTGGGAGGTGGTGGCCAATGTAACATTGATACCCACATCTGAATAGGCAGAGGACCCAGGAGCGTTTCCAAGAGAAGAATGGAGTTCACTCTATGTACATGTCTTCTCAAATCACTGGCTGAGAACCAGGATTCAGTTTTATTCCATTTTTGTGTGTTTATCACTGTTCTCTCTGTAGTGGAACTTACTGGGGGGACTGGCATGTCTGTTTTTTTCACCACTTTATTCCCAGGGTCTAGAAAGGTGACTGGCACTTTGGCTGGCATATCCAATGGGTAAAAGCTGCAGATTCTCAAGCACCAGGGAGATAAAGGCAGAAGAGAGCAGGAGACTGGGTAAAGTATATAGTCAGTGACTTTGGTCTGAGTTTGGTAATTCAGAAATTTAGGAAAGATTTTTCTTTTTATGAAAATACTGTAAGTACACGTAGGGGGTGAACATAATTCTTTAGTATTAGGCCTCCAAAGGCCTTTATCAGGCTTTGTGTGGAACATTTATTGAGAGTTTCAAGGCCGGGCCAGGAGCCAGAGTCAGAAGAGACAAGTGTGTATGCCTGTGGGATGATGGGATGCCTGTGACCACCGGTGTATGTTAGGCCTAGCAACACAAAGTGGGGGGTATCTTCTTCCCCACTCCCTTACTTCCTATAGGTTAGGGAACTTTCACTGTTAATTTTCTTACTTTTTTTTTTCTTTTCACTAGTGATCCCTGGCTGAAACTAACCATGCCTTATTACTAGAGGCATTTGTGGAATTACTCAAGCCTTCAAACCAGAAAGAGGAAGAGGTGCACAGAAGGAGAGAACTGCTATCTACCTGAGTGCTTCCTGGGTGCTAGGTTCTGCACTGAGCTGGGATATGGGATCTCCACTTCATACTGCAGCTGTGTCCAAGGTCGGGGAGGAGGTCAGCATCACACTTTTATAGTCTGCAGCAGCCTTTATATCAGGGGCTCAAAGAGGTTACACAACTGCTCAAGGTCAAAGATAAATATAGGGCCTGGGATCTGAACCTCTGGGCCAAGCACAGCCTCTGGTACATATCAGGAACTCCATAAACATTAACAGAACACAACAGATGAATGAGCTTGCCGTGAGATGTTCTTTGGCATATCCTGGAATTTTCCCAGACCCCTTAAGTATATCTTAACTAATGATTCACTTAACCCTTCCTCCCATATTCTGCAGCCACTCCCTCTATCTGCCCATAAACAGGAAGAGACATTCAATTCTTGTTGTCATAAATGCTGCAATTGCAAAAGCAGAAATGTTTTATGATCCACAACATCTCCCTGCACTTCTAGGAGAAATATGCAGACATTTGCCTCTTTGTCACTGTGTTTGGCTTCTCTCTGCTTATTCTTCCGTAAGCATGAATTCAACCTGGAAATATATTCTGAGGTCATTTCATTTTGCCCTCCTCCCAGAAGCCCTGGACAGGGCTGTCCATGCCACACTCAACGTAGCACAGTGCAAAGCTGATGGTGTTTGCAGCCTAGCAAAGCTGGAGATCCCAGCTGTTATTTCCTGATGCCTGATTTGGGCATGTCAGCTCACCTCCGTGATACTCAGTTTCCTCATCAATAACAGTTCATAATAATTCTTTCCTCCCACGGCTATTAGGCTGGTTTAGAAAGACCACACACATCAAGTGGGTATCCAATTCAATTCCTTTCTATTTTCAGACCCGTCTCCTTAAATACTTATGCTATGTATGGTCAATTCTGTCTATCGCTCTCTTTGGTCTTATGACTTCAGTTGCAAATGGAAGAAACTTTGTATCTATTCTTGACAAACAGCAGATTCCAGGATCCCTCAGGAGCTTCTCTGGTGGCTTCCCTCTTTCCCCAAAGACAGACATTCCGAAGGTTTCTGCAGTGTAGAGTTTGCTTTTGGTCTTA